CAGCAGCAGCAGCATTTGGAAATGCTAGGAATCCTGAATGGGCCACTATAAAACACGTCCTTCCCTCAGTTACAAAGCACATAAAAGTCTTAAAAGCCATAGCTGTGCGCTGAGTGATAATGTTGTATCAAACCAAATTACTCAAATATCACATTTTCAAGTCATTCCTTTCTAACCCTTTACTAAACATATATTTATCAAGGATCTATTATGTCCCAGGTACTTTTCATACTTACATTGAGAATGGAAAAGTAAACAAAATATAAAAATCCTTCTTCAGAGCTTGCATTCTAGAGGAGAATGTAAATAATAATAAAAGTAAAAAGAACACCGTATTAAAGGTAAGCCATAATAATAAAATAAAATAAAAAAACACAAGAAAGAGGGAATATAAAATACAGTATTTCAGGAAAGAGAAAGTTAAGTTTTAGATAGGATCAACAGGAAGAGCCTCACCAACGAGACAACTTTTTGACTAATGATCTGAGGGAAGTGATGGGAGCTGCCATTCTGTTCTCTGGGAGGGCCCATGTGTGACTAAGAGAAGGCAAAGCCCTGAGGTCGAGTGAACCCCAGGGGTTCAAAGGACAGGAGAAATCTCTGTTTGGCTGAAGCTGAAGGACGGGAGTGTGAGTGGGAGAACCTTACATTGCAAAGATAAAGTGAGGAGGCAGTTTATGTATGTCCCCAGAGACCTACTAAGGACTATGGGTTTTACTCCGAATATAACAGGAATGTACGGCATGATAAATATGTTGATAACTTCAGCCTTATTTAAATTTGTAATGAAATCTGGAATAATTCACATACATGTTTCTTTTGCTTTGAATACTTTTTTTAAACTCAAGAAATAAAATTTAGTATGAGAAGAGTATAACAGATTATATATCCCTTAAGTGGTTGACAACCTAACTGTTTATATATGCTTTTTGTTTGTTTATTTTTCCCTATACTGATATGACCTTTGTTCTCATAGCTTTTGTCACAATTTGCTTTTGAAAAAAAAAAAAAAAAGTCAAGATAATTTCATACATTTGAGGATTAGGTCAACCACGTTTCTTTGTAAAGTTCATTCTCTATCATATTCATTTAGGTTTCAGGTGTGTAATCATTTGTACAATATTCAATTTTTAAATCATAAATAAGCATGGCATTAAAAAATGCATATGCTCTATCTATGGGAAAGCAATTCCCTATAAATGGTGTAAATAATCTCCATAGCCTTTCTCCTGCAAAAGGGCTCTTGATTCAGAAAAGATACACTCCAGGGAAACCGCAGTCACAGTTCCAGAAGTCAGATGAGAGCACTGGGTCTGCAATATTTCTGTCACAGGCTTTTTCAACACCTGTTGATCAGTCAATCAGAGGAAACCTCCAGGGCTGAAGATATGCCAGCTCGGTGAAAATTCCTTCCCAAAATAGCAATAGCTGAGCAAATTGCTAGGCCAACAGAAGCAGACGATGGACTGACCCCGGGACTTTGTGCCACAGAGCAACTGTCTTCCATGGTTGGCATTTTTTCAATGTTTAAATCCTTCTTTGCTCCAACAGCTGATTTCCTCCTTTACCATATTCTTCTTTCATTTCTGTTTTCCTAGGGCGTGACATCCACATCCTTCCACACTGAACTTTCTTTGGTCAGCAGCTTCTGAAGTGATTATACAGCTGTCTCTAGTTGTCTGGCAGTGACCACTGCACTTGTAGGTTAGATCTTCCCTCACTAAGTATCTCCATGAGGCATGGAAAATGCAGACTCTCAGAGAAACCAAAGGCTATGAGTTTTGATTTAGGTCAAATAAGTCTCAAAGACATTTTTAAATATCCAAATTAATTTGGAAGATTTGCCTTTCCTTTCTAATAGAAGTAAAACAACAAATGGCTTCATACGGTTTAGTGATGCCTTCATACTTTTTTGAGATATCAAACCAACTCCATTTAAACCATGAAAACTTTCAGCGATGCAAAGACTGTTTTATTGTTAAATTTGAACGTAAAGCTACTGGTTTCCTTCCTTTTTCCCTTAGCATAATATAATGAGCTTTTTTCTATGCTAGTATAAACACCAAGAAAACATCTTTTGTGACTACTTCCAAATTCCATGCATTCACTAAGTCATTCCATAACTTGTATTTGAGTTGTTTCAATTTTTATTATTTATTTATTTATTTATTTATTTTGCTATTACAAATGCTGTGGAATTGAATGTGTTGTTACACAAAGCTTTTCCTGTAATAGGGATTATACCCTCAGAGCAGATCTATGATTGAATATGTCAAAGGTATGACATTTTAAGGGTAGTCAGATGAAGATGAATGTTCAAATGCAGAATATGTTCACCTGTAAATGGATCTTATGATTTTCAAATCAGCAGGCAACAGCTGGCCCACAGTAGTGGAAACCCTGTTTAATACATTAAAATCAATAAAATTTATTTCAATTCTCCAAATTGAAACATACTGAATTCAAAATTGCCTTAATTTATTATTCTCCATGTTATACTCAAAATATTTCAAAAAGTGTTACTCTCTAGTAAGGTTGTCAGTCAATAAAAGATTTTAAAGATTAAGATGACTTCAGGTTCATTGTGTGGTAATTTGTTGGACAGGTTCATATTTTTACAGTAGGGAAATACAAGCACAATAAATTTCAAATACAAAAAAAGAAAAAAATAATTGAACAATAACTGATATACAATGTGTTTATTTAACTTAACAATATATTTAGGGCATGTTTCCTGTAACACCTCTTATGATACTATATTAGAAAGTACATTTTAAAAGTTATTAATATTAATAAAGACAAGTATAAGTGGAAAGAGTAACAATCATTTCCTGGCTGGGTGGCTCAGTTGGTTGGGGCACATATGGGAGACAACAGATTGGTTTTATCTCCTACATCAGTGTTTCCCTTCCTCTCTCTCTAAATTCAATAAAAACAGTATCCTCGGGTGAGGATAAAAACTTAAAAAAGAGTAATAGTCAAAATGCCCTTTCTTTCTTCTGTTGCCATTTTTCAAAGTAGCAGTGCAACATGCATACTGGAGTAAAGCCTTCCTCCAAACCCTATTCACAACCCCAGTCAGAGTGTATTTGCTCTCCCAGATTAGCCACTGTTAACTTCCAGGAAAACTTTAAATTTATATTATAGGAAAAAGAGAGAAATTACAGACATAGAAAATAACATATAGATATACATATAATTATAGACTAGAGGCCTGGTGCACATTTGTGCACTGGGAGAAGGGGGGTCCCTCAGCCTGGCCTGCACCCTTCTCACAGTCCGGAACCCCTTGGGGGATGTCTTCCTGCCAATTTAGGCCTACTCCTCCGAGGGGTTCTTAGTGCTGGAGGCCAAAGAGGCTTCCACCACCGCCACTGTGCTTGCCAGCCCTGAGCCTCACTCCTAGCTGAGCAGCGCTCCTCCTATGGGAGCGCAATGACCACCAGGGGGCGCTGCTCCTGCCTTGAGAGTCTGTCCCCTGGTGATCATTGCCCATCAGAGCGACCGGTCATCCTGCCATTCAGTCAATTTACATATTAAATTTTTATTATATAAGAATATACATATAATTATACATACCTACATATGATGATGCCACACAGTTATGTATAATACTTTTATCCTAATCTTCACCATAATCTCATAACTGCATTCTTACTTATTCATTCCACATCATCTGCCCCCCAATTTGTGTGAGCCTAAGGAATTTTTTTTTCCTGAATGAAGTAAAATAGAGATCCAGTTTTTAAAGTCAAGAGAATTGAATGAGGCAATAAATAGACCAAAATATATGTACTTTGTTTAACATATGGTGCCATTTCAATGTAATGTACTTCTTATAAAAGCAAATGATATAACTTCATTTATTTAATTATTCTATTCTTTGTTTTTCCTCCATAAGTAATTGTTCAGCATTCTTAAAGGGCTATTTCTCCTCCAGTAAGAATTGTATAAATAAAGGTGCATGTGTATATGCACACACAAACACATATACTTTAATATATCTTAATGGCATGGTAAAGTAGAACCATTCTCTTCCTATCCCACTAAGATGGAAAATTGAGAGTAGATAATTAAATAATTAAATTTTCCTAAAGACTCATTATAATCTATGGAGAAAGCCATATAGCTTTTTCTCTTTTAACTGATTAATATGGCAAATTAAGTATTAGAACTTTGATGTTAATTAAACCAACCTTTACTACTTGGATGCAACTCAATTGTTCATGATGTATTCTTCTTTTAATATATGTTCCTATTTACTAATGATTTTTCCAGATTTTATATTACTATTCAAAACAGCAATTGGTACTTTCCTCTCTTTATTCAATTTGATATCCATGTGATTCTGTCTTTGTAAAGAAAGGTTAAATTTATTTTGTTTAAATTCAATAAAACCTGCTTTTGAAATTAATGTTACTGGCTCTTAAGCTTGGAGGAATAAAACTTCTCTACAACTGAGCCTTACAGGCCAAATTGAAAATGAGATGATTTCTGATTAAGGGTCATAATACCTAACTGTGTTCAAATACCCATATAAATAGATTATGGAGTCTAAACTCAGACAACTTCAACCCTACTTTTATTACTATGAGATAAAATCATTTTTACACAAATTGGCACATTTCTCAAGAAGCAGAAACATATGATCCAGAGGCCACCCACTAGCTCAGATTACACATATGCAGTAGATTTGACCACAGTTCATAAAATACAGCTCATGAGGGACAAATCTGAAATTTACTGTTATATACAATTGGATATCACCAGTTTAATCAAACAAGCTTTTGGCACATACCTGATTCTGTAATATGTTCTAAGCCAGAAATAAAGTAAGAAGAAAAAGTAGGGAGACTGGCCATGATTTGAAGGACACTGATTCCCAGATGGGCCAGTAAGTGGCCCATTAGGACAATTCCGCAAGCATTTGTGCCTCCACTTTTAATTATTTTCTTTCTTCTTCTTCTTTTTTTTTTTCTTTCTATAAAGAATGTGCCATCTTTTAAAATATATGTTTATTGATTTCAGAGAGGTAGGAAGAGGGAGGGAGAGATAGAAACATCAATGATGAAAGAGAATCATTGATTGGCTGCCTCCTTCACACCCATATGGGGGATCGAGACCACAACCTAGGCCTCTGCCCTGGCTGGGAACTGAACTATGACCTGCTGGTTCATAGGTCAAAGCTCAACCACTGAGCCATGCTAACCAGGCCTTTTTTCTTCTTTTATTTTTTTAATTGAATTTATTGGGGTGACATTGGTTGGCAAAACTATACAGGTTTCAAGTGTAGAACTTAATAAAATATAATCTGCACAGTACATCATGCATCCTCACCCCAAGCAATGTCTCTGTCTATACCCTTCTCCCACTTTTTTTACCTCTACCTCTTCCTCACCCCCTTCCCCTCTGGCTATCACCACATTGTTGTCTGTGTCTATGGGTTATGTATCTATGTTTTTCTTGATCATATTTTTCAGTTATTGTTTTATTTACTTGCCCCATGATCCCAGTTTGCTGGTTGACCATGCCAGGAATAGAGAGAAAAGCAAAAATGTTCAGATAGGGGGTTCAGCTCCTTGAGATTCAGAGTATTTTCAGAGCTTCCTGGGTCACCAGAGGGAGAAAAGATTTTTAAAAAAGACAAATGAGCCAAAGCCGGCTTGGCTCAAGTGGATAGAGCATTGGCCTGCAGACTGAAAGGTCCCGGGTTCGATTCCGGTCAAGGGCATGTACCTTGGTTGCGGGCACATCCCCAGTAGGAGATGTGCAGGAGGCTGCTAATCAATGTTTCTCTCTCATCGATGTCTCTAGCTCTCTCTCCCTCTTCCTTCCTCTCTGTAAAAAAATCAATTAAAAAAAAATAAAAAGGACAAATGAGCAAGTCTGCACACTTCTTTTTACACCGCCTTGATCAAAGAAGCATTGGTGACTTGTAACTATTATTTTTCTGAACAACCAGAATCCTCATAATCTAAAAGGAAGTTTGTAAGCCAGGGCACCAAAATATACACACTGTCTTTAATAAAATACACTATAAGGCAGAATAATAGATAATATGAAAATGGAGTGATCTATAGCTGGGAAGTCTCAATGAAAAAGAAAAATCATTGTGGTCACAGGGTAATGAGATGTTTGAGTTTGAAATTTTGAAAGTGGAGCACGGCTATAGGAGCATGTCTAAGTGGCTAATGGAATAAACGTTTGGTAAATAGCCTCCAACATCACCACCAATGATCTTGCCAACTAGTACTCATGTCCCTGTGGAATCCCCTCCCAGGTTGAATAGTGCTGACCTAAGTAAGCAAGGAATATTTCAGAAAAATGGAATGTGACCTTCAAGGCTGGGTCATAAAAGATATTGTGGCCTGTGCCTTCTTCCTTTCGGAATCACTCACTCACTCTGGAAAAATCCAGCTGCCATGATGTGAGGAGACTTAAACAGAGATATGAAGAAGTCCTTGAGGCTCCGGCCAACAGCAGCACTACATTTTCAAGCATATGAGTGAGCCGCTTTGAGAGTCGATCCTCCAGCCCCAGTCATGCTTTCAGATGAAAGAAGCTGCGGGCAACATCTTGACTGCAATCTCATGATAGCCTGATCCAGAATCACCCAGCTAAGACCCCACTGGATTCCTGACACACAGATACCATGTAAAATAGTACGTAAGACACTAACTTTTAAAATAATTTGTTATAAAACAACAGGTAACTGACACCTGAGTTGAGAGGCGAAGCAGGCCTATTTATGTCATCTGTAAGAAGAATGAAGATGAAGATCACTACAAGTAAGCAGCTCCAAGAACCAATATACCAGTGTGTGGAGTAAACAGACAAATAGATTCTGATATCACCCAGGATACTGGAAGTACTTAGAGAGAAGAGAATCAAGAACCCAGCTAGATCCAAAGTAATTGAAAAGAGTGAATGGAGGATGGGCAGCTGAGAGGTAAGCATGTCAAAGGAGTAGAAATTTTCCTAAGAAGAAATAATCATTTGGAAAATGAACTGAGACCCAGTGAAGGAGTCGCTGATCTTTCTTCTTAATCCTGGATGCACAAAAATGGTTACTAGGGGTAGGTATGAAAGCACATAACAAACTATAATAAAACGTTAATCACATCTTTAATATCAATCGAAAACTTGTTATAATAACTTAAGAGCCTTGGCCAAGAAACTTTTATAAGGAAAAGAACTTTTGTTTTCCAGAGTCTTACAATGTTTTTTAAACAAGCATGGCTTGCTGCACTACTCACAATATAGCAGAAAAGTCACGTTTCTTTATCTTTTTGAATAAAATTATATCTAGCTTTAAGGTCTTTCTGAGGACCACAAGCCATCTTTTTTTCCCCTCCTTCTTACAACTTTATCACTTTCCTGATATCATTGCAAGATTTAGGAAATGGGCATTCGAGAGAAATGTGGAAGAGGCCTCCTTATGGTCGGCCAGCATAAGCACCCTAAGCTTCATGGTGAGGTTTCCGGTTCTTATCCCATGGCCTGCTGAAAAGGAGAGGTGTCCACCTCTTTCACTGCAGCTCCCAAGGCCACGATGCTTAATGCTCAGCAGCAGGCCTCTATGCCCAGACCCTGCTCAGTGTCACGGCCAGTTACCAAACCCACCACTCCTCTGTCCTTCCTGGTTCCAATAATCCTATGCTGTCCCAAGCTGGACCAGCATCATCCTGTAGAAGCACCAGCCCCCACCTCCAGCAGATAATCCAATAATATGATTTCAATCATACATACAAATCAATAGCACATGCTGCTTTCAATTTTTCATTTCTATAGAAGGTGTCCATTTTCTCCTACTGTAACAAAGGAGCATTAAACACAATAAAACTGGGCTATACTTCCTGGGAAAAGAAAGAGAAACGTATTTACATTCATTTGTGAATGACTAGACAAAAACAAGAAAAGGTGAGTTACTAATTTCTAGAATATGTATCTTCCTGGGTATGTTTTCTCTTCCTTGTTCATTTTGACTCAGGATGAAATGTATGTTTTGCTTAAGTTTTTATTATGACATTTTTAAACATAATAAGTACAGATATCAATGTAACAGACATTCACATCAATATCAAGATGTAGCAGATGTTACTCTATTTCCATATTCCTATCATTACCATTTTTTTTTTAGAAAACCAGCACTAGATAACAGTTGAAGCCCTTGCTCCCTTGCCTGATCCAGATCCCAGAAATTTCTCCCAGTGCCTCATCTTTTTCATCTTCTGTGCTCTTTAGATTAGACTCTGGGTCAATTCTACTGGTATTGACGAAGGAAGATGCAGCACTTCGTTTCCAAATGAACTCACCAGGGAGGTTTTTGTGTGGTTATTTTCTGCCCTTTAGATTTGGCTCTGCTACCTGGCCCGTTCTTGTCACAGCTACTTGTTACTTGGAAGTTCAAAATGTAAGAGTATGTTATGAGATTCTACAGAATAATAAAGAGGTTGCAAACAATTTTTCACAAATGTAAGAGGGTCCGTACTGGTCCTGAAAAATACTCATTCACCATTCATTTATTTCTTCAACAAACATTTGTTGGATGCTCATGATGGGATAGGCATTGGGCTAAGAACTCAATGCTGCCATGTGTGTAAATTTCATTCCCTGTGTTTGTCTGTGTAATCCTATTATGAACTATGTCTTTAATACACATCATAGTCATATAATAACTTTTCTTTAATAACTTGAAGTAAAAAAACAGTAGACTCTTCACTCAATTTGACAAGTGGCTAAATTAGTTAATAGCTGCTGGATTTACTATTTTAGGAGAATCTACATACGACTCAAAGTTAATGCACTGAGCTGAGGACTGTAGTAAGAAGACCATTCCTTATGAGTGTCACACTTTCTCCAGAGAACCGCTCGCTGTACTTCTAATTGATTAAGAATATGTTAAAAAGAAAGGTGATGAATTTCAGATACAAAGTCAGGGTGTAGAAGAATAAGTGTAAATCCTGTGTTTATTAGATCCATAAAAAAAAAAAATTCTATGCTAAACACCTTCAACTTCTAAGAACCCATCCCTCAGACCTGGGGCTGCCTTCCTAGCTCACTGTTGGAATTCCTGATGGTGGCAGTCTGAGGAAACATGAGTTCAGTTACCAAATATAGTTGAGTGGAGTAAGAGGACAGATGCGATTCCGAGGCCACAGTTGCCTCAAAGTGACCACGGACCAAGCAGTCTGTCATGAAGAGGCAAGGCCAACCTCTGCTCCCCCAGAAAAGAGGAAATGCTCATCTGAACTACATCACCTTTTTCGGAGTCATCAAAGTAACCAAGGATTGAACAGGTCTGTAAGATGTACCCTAATATATAACTAGTAGGACAACATTTGTTAATTAAAAAAAAAAAAGCTAAAAGCATAATAGCAGTTTGCCTGAAGGTGTAATACTACTTAGAAGCTATCTTGATTTTTCTTTCATTTGGAGAGGGAAAGTAATGGGATTTTTGTCATCTTTTCAAAAACAGAATATAAAAGATTAATCTGCATGCTTTATTTCTACCTATGTTGTCAAATTATTGCATTCTCTATTAGAACCTGAAGCATGCGAAATTGCTGACACTAATATCAAGAGGATTAAATGTAGTTATGGAATTAACATTTGTCAAGATTGTGTATGTGTTTTGTTTACAGAATATAAGAATGTAGTTCATTTGAACCTCACCCATACTTAAGCTAAATACTGATGGCTTAAATGATACACTTTAGCTTTTAGCAACATTTTAAGTTGTTAATTACACTTTCAAGTTGTTGTTTTTTTAAATCAGTTGACAGTAATAGCAGACATTTTAAATTATGTCTATGCATAAAGTTTATATATTTTTTCTGGAAAGATAAAGCTTACTAAAGGAAACTATAGTCCAGTAAAATGTAAACATCACAGTCTAATTTATATCTTGTTGTTTTAAATTACACATGAAATTGTCTTGAACCCAATGCATGAGGTTAATACAAAATGATTTCAGGTTCATACCACTTTTTCAGATTTGCTAAAAACACTAATTTCCTTTTAGTACGAATAATGTAGTCTTGTGCCTGACTATAGAATATTATTCAAAATCTATTTAATCACGTATGTGCAGAAATACTTATTGCCTGATAAATATACTTTCAACATTTCCTCCTC